AAAAAAAAAAAAGAAAAAAGAAAAAAGACTCTATGTTTAGAAGAAAAGCACTAACGAAAACAAAGACCATATATCATTGGTGATAGAGGTAGCTAGCTCTCCTTTTCCTATATATACCTTTGGTGTTTGAATATCTAAGCAGCAAGCAGCCTATGATCTTCAAGTAAAGGTAGCTATGCGAAGCTTTTCGATATCTATGTTCCTTCTAAGTAGGAGTGTAAGCGTAGCCAAAACATAATATTGACTACCTATATAAACCTAGTTATATATCAGTTACAAACAAGTAACGTAAGTACTCTACCTTTACTTAATATCTTAGGTGTAGCGTTAGACTCTATTTTCGTGGTGTTTGTTTTCTTCAACCTTTTTGTTGAAGCTTTTGTGCTATAATATTCGTGATGTCTATATTATACGCTTAGTTAGGAAGCCAACATGCAAAGAAGGAAATAGAAGGAGAGGTTAGATGTGCCCTACATACATATGACTGCAAATTGCAAGATAAATTTTATCAAAAATAATTGGTATAGTCTTAGTTCAACATATTTTTTGATACACTTTTAGTTTAATTATTAAAAATATAATATAAATAAAATAAATTCAATTGATTCGTACATCTTGTATACATGATAATATCATTAAACTTATTTGTTTTTAATTTTAAATTAAAAAATAATAATTTTTTAATAAATATGTCATACATTATATTAAATCAAAGTGTGTACTAATTGCAAGATAAGTTCTACATATGAATCCCTGAATAAAGTCATATATAGGAAGAATATTAGGATTAATCCCCATCAAATAATGATCTAAATTATATATATAATTAATTTGTTAATAGTATGACCTTTCCTTTTCCTTCGATTCCCTCTTTATTTGCTATTTTTGACAACTTTTGGGAATTATTGGAGCAGAGATTAGTGTTAGGGGAAACAGAAATTAAAAAACCCACTAGTAAAATACTTAGAAAAAATTAACCCAAAAAAAACAATGAAAGGAAAAAAATTAAAGTGGGATAAAATAACATGGCATGCAGAAAAAGCAGTGATCGAGGGGACAATGCGCGTAAGTGCCGCTATCACTACTCATTATTTTGTTAAAATTATGTATAAAAAAATTAATTTAATTAATATTTTATTAATTTATAATTTTTTACTCAAAAAATTAATTTTAATTAGTAAATAATAAAGATTCAAGTATTTTAATTTAAATTATATATTAAAAATGTAATTTTAATTATAAAACTATTAAAATATTTTTAATAAATAAACATAAACAAATGTTTTATTAAAAATATTTTAATAATCAAACTACAAATTTAAAACGTAATTTAATTTAAAAAACATTTTTTTATAAATAATAACTATTAATTATTAAATTTTAAGATATAAATTAAGAAAATA